TATATGGGGAAGAGCTTTTTACATGGCTGGTGCTGAATGGGGGCTGTCATAAATGCCAAACTGTGGGGAAAAATAAGTTTTTTAAAGCTGTCTGTATGTGCTTCCTACATTTTGTTTTACAGAATTACATGAATTTACATTACTTCCATCTAGGTATATATGAACATTTCTCGGTTATGTCATATAGCACCTAAATTGTTCTCCAGCTTGGTAAATAAAGCCTGCCAATTTTTCCCATGTTTTCTACTGTTAGAGGTGCCTGCGACTGTTGCCCAGGGTGGAGACAGGTCTGACTAAGAGCTAGAGTTTCTATTTTCAGAAATGCAGGGTCAAACGTTTGTTTTGCTCCTAACAGTCCCGGGGCAACCCCGAGTGAAACCACCAGCTAGAGCTTTATCTCGATGTCTGCAGACCTCATCCTCCATTCCATTGTAGGATTGTGATCATACATACACTGTGACTTCAGCATCAAAACAGTTTAACTCCATCCCCCATCGTGCCTGTGAAAAGATCTGGAGACCTTGAACACTTGCACTCTTTTTGTAAAAGTTTGCTTGCCCAACAAAGACATTGTGCTAATAAGAATTTTGGAATACTTACAACTGACTTTTGGAGTGCTTGCATACTCATAGACTGCAAGACTCCAGAATTCAACTTGTTGCTTACCTGGTTTGTAAGGAAAACCCTTAAGTTTGAAGTCCATTCATACTTAGAGTAGGGCTTCATGGGTGCATAGACAAAGGAGGGACGTGCAGGCAAAAGCTAGCATAAGTGGGGGCTCTGATATCCACTCCCCATCTCCAAGAAAAACAGGTATGGTGCATCCTGAATGTATCTTCTCTGTCCACAAGAGGTATCAAACTATTTCCCACATGCTAATTGGAATGTGTTCTTGTTGGTTGTGTTCCAGTTATCTTCTGTGTGCTTAGCCAAAGTTATGGATGGACGAGCAGAGATGGAGGTGATAAGAAGCACAAAAGGGAGTGTGGCAGGGGAGGTCAGTGTCCACTTGGTTTCCAATGAGACTACTGTGCAAAATGCCCACCTACCAGCAACTGCCTTCATCATTCCAGGTAGGTGGCTGAAACACTGAAGAATACCATGCTACATCTAGTTGTCTTTCAACGTCTTTTGCTGCCACTGCTACTTCTCTTCTTTGTGTCCCAGAAAACTACACACTTATCTAGGTGGACTAATTTCCCATTTGATCCTGTTGCTGGATTTTGTTTACTTGATTGTTCTCTTTGCAGGTGAACATACTTATGGTATGAATTAGTCAACTATACTCTGTGTATACAATATAGTTTCCTAAGATTCTGCCCACCTCCACAAGTGCTGTCCCTAAAGGATCATTTGCCCCTTTATTCAGATATACCTTAGAAGCAAAGCAGAATAACTGAAATATGGACATGCATGAGAGTAGTAGATAAGGTGCCAACAATAATGGCATTGCTCTGTGCTGCAAGCAGTGAGAACCAGAGTCACACTAAAATGTTGTGAACTAACCTGGTGTGGACATGTGCCTTTGAGAATCAGATTTTTCTCTGCTGCTTCTGCTCACAGCACTCTTAAGGTAGGGAAGGAAGAAAGAATATTTCCTTTACACATCCTGATTGCAATCTGTTAAGACTATGAAAAGAAAACTGAATTCTGTCCATCTAATTGTGAGGATTTCTTTTTTTGGTAGGGATAAAATCTGAAAGTGACTCACAAAATAATGACAATGCAGGGCTCTGCAAAGGGGGTGGGGAAAACCAGCTATGACTTAATCATCTTATATTGCCTATTCATATAATAAGGTATTTGGAAACAATCAACTTTCATGTTCTCTTCTGGCGTTCAACCCAGCCTGACTGTGCTCTCTGCATAATGTCCCTTGCTTGTGGTGAACTCTGGATATATCTCCTGCAAGATACATTTTGCACATGTGTACATATAGATATGCTTGTGATAGACATGTACTATTTTTCTTTCCTTCTTGGTAAGCAAATACAACCACTGTAAACCTTCCAACAAGCACCTTAGAAATCCAACGATTCCCTCGGGATCCGCAGAAAAACATGGGCACAGAAAGGCAAAGAGAGGTCACTGGCAATGAGCCTATCACAGCAACGGTCATCCCACAGATCAGTGGTGTTCAGACTTGCAATACCATCCGAGTTCTGGAATGGAAAGATGGGGTGGCCACTCTCCCTGGCAGCAACCTACGGGTAGGTGAACTGAAGCCCCTTTCAAGTTCCCAAGTGCCGCCTCTGTGACTGGAGAGCTAGCAGGAGTGGGGCTTGGTTTTGGTAGGTGGCATAGAAGGTCTCTTGGCAGTACAGTGGATGAAGCAGTGGAAGGTTGGGTTCTTTATTCTAACTCGTTGTGCAGTGATAAATTTAGAAGTGCAAGCACTTATCATAACAAACCTCATAGCTGCAGTTCTGAGAAAAGTCCAGAATTGCAGGCAATTGTGTTGGTCCATATCAATAAAGCAGTTCTAGGAGTTTTTATCTGCTAGGAGCAGGTCTTGTGCGATGGGAATTCAAAACCAAGCCACCCCAAAATACTTTACAAGGAACAATATATCATTGCTGGGGAAATTCATTGTCCTCCAGCTACTATTAGGCTCAGAGGAAACAGGACATTCTTAAGGGGGTGGCAGATGACATGGACATCCGTGTTGCCACAAAGTGCTGGCTTCTCATGCTTGCCAGCACTGGCCTCACCACACCACTGGTGCCGTGTCTTTTGTTGCAGCATATCCCTTGCAGCTAAGGCATCCAGCAGCAGGTCTGAGTTGTACCCATGTTAGTCTTATTTAGAGTAAAGCTACTGAAATCAGTAGGGCTTGACTTGACATAGACTAACCTTGGATACAGGCCTATAAATGTGCAATTCTAGCTTGAGAGAGGTTATTTAAGGGTGTTGTAGAACCTCTGCACCTGCAGTTCTTTAAGAGCAGGCTGGGCAAACACCTCCAAAACTTAGGAAAAGTCCTGCTGGAATAGAATAAGGGACTATCCAGTCCAGCTTCCTGTTCCTGCAAGTGTTTTGCGGTCAGATGGATCGTGGAAACCCACTGGGTGGTATCCAGATCCAAAGCAATTCTCTTTTGATTTGTCTGGTTAGGTTTGGCCAACTTTATCCATGAAGCAGATAAAGTAGTTTGATGGCATAATCCCATATCTGTGTGCTCCAAAGCTAGCCCAGTTGAGTTACTCCCAGGCAGTCGGATTACAGCTGGAGATTACTTGAGACCCTATAATAGATACAAGGCTGCCCCATTGATGTATATGAAGGTAATCAGTGGCCATGAAGGTAGGCAGGGCTTCTGTTGGTTTCTTTCACACAAGGATGCCTTAGGTAGGATTTCTGCTGTTGCAGGAGGCAGAACTCAAAAGTATAAGAGGTCCTTTACAGATTCTAAGTCAATTAACCTAGAGGTAAAGAGGCGTTTATCTCTGTCTTTCAAATACTATGTGAGAGACAGTTCTCACTGGTCCACGTTGAAGTGCTTGCTTGCTTTTTTTATTTCATATAGTGCATTCAACATGCATAGCACTGTAAACAAGGACAGCAGGCCCCTGCCTAAAGGAGCTTGCAATTTAATCTCAGACTGTCAAGTATCCCTGTCCTTACTGTGCTGCATACATAATAAAGCTAGTACAGGGACGTAAGCACAATACTGAATTTGGATCAGAAGAGATGGAAACCCCTCTCAGCTGTACAACCTGCTCTGTGACTTTGGGTCAATCTACATGTACCTGTCTAACCTACCTCACAGGGTAGGGTGAGGAGAAAACAGGGTGGCCTCCTGTGCATAGCCCTAAGCAGAGCTGAGTCCAGTTTTAGGGAGTGTAGCCCCCTCAGTGGGCTCCTTCCTGCAGTGAGTCTATCTTCTTACTGCTCTTGGTAGCAGCTGCTGTTGCGCCTGCCCCGCTTTCTCCTTCTTGCTGCCACTTGCATGCTTGGCAGGCAGAGAACTGGTGAGCAAAAGGCAGTGGCACCTAGTGCTCCCCTTCCTTAGCACCATCATTGTCTGGGCCAAAATGAGAGGTAGGTAGGCAAGCAAGTTGCAGTGGTGAAGAGGGGAAGGAACGCCAGGGCTCCTGCTGGGGTGGGGTGTGGGCCTTTGGAGATCCCCAAAGCCTTGATCACAGCCCTGGCCCTAAGCTCTTTAAAGAAGTGGCAGGATACAGGCACACTCATGCCTACTTTCTCCCCCATAATGCAAAACCTTTCCTCCTTTATTGCTGCAGTTTCGGATCAATGACTATGGGACACTGAAAGTGGTCAGTGCTGACAAGCTTTCGCCTGCAGAGCATGTGAAGGAGTGCCACATGGAAAGAGATGGGGACGATGAGATGGCACCTCCCACCAGCAAGGACAGTCCTACTGCAGCTCCAGGTTGGCATAGTTCTTGGGCAAGTGTGTGGAATGTTGCATACAGTTTCCATTGTAGAAGCCACTGTTGGGGCATGGTGATACTCAGAATGCGGAGCATTTTGATACTTCCCTGGGCTTATGTGTGTGGCGATTTGAAGATAAATTTGTGGTCAGAATGTATTGTTGCAGCTTACTCAGCCCTTTGCATCTAACTCCTATGTGCTAGAACTCTACAGGTGTCATGAGCTGGTCGTCTCTCCACCTGCCCCACATTCTTCAAGCAAATCAGGACAAATGTCTTTTAACTAAGGGCTTTATGGCTGCTTGTGGGCTGATCAGCAGGAAGTCTGAAACTACTGAATGGATCCTTTTTAATCTGATATGGTGTAACTGGACTATTAGTGTCAAGTCTGCCCCCATCCATTTCCCTCTGTTCAACAGAGTTTCCCAGAGAACCAAATGTAGTCTGGTTGATACCTGCCTTTAAATTATGTCATGGTCCAATCCTACCTCTTCTTCCAGTTTTCATTCAGAATCTCAGGCAGCAACTTTGGAAGGCTGTATTTAAGGGCTAGTAGTTCTAGGGCAGTGGTGGCGAACCTATGGCACATGTGCCACAGCAGGCACACAGAGCCCTCTTTCTCGGCACGCGAGCCAGGTCGCCCAAGCATCTCTCCAGCAGCTGAGTATCAGATAACAGCACACATAGGGGCCATGCGCATGCTCGGAAAGGAGTAGTGGCGCCAGGCGATGATGTCATGAGCTACGACTCATTAGCCGTGACTCGTCCAAGCTTTTGCATGGCTGGTCAGTGCGTTGTCAAGGATATAGATATGTATTTGCTGAGACTGGCTGTGAGTTGTTTTTTCTAAACTAAAACCTCAGTTTTCAGGTTTTATTGCAGTGTTGGCACTTTGCGATAGATAAGTGGGTTTTGGGTTGCAGTTTGTGCACTCGGTCTCTAAAAGGTTCACCATCACTGGGTTAGGTTACAAAAACGAGGTATCCTGGATTGATTTTGATGGTTATAATGTGTTTAGAATGGGCAGAAAAGTTGAGCTGTACAGAAAAAGCTACTCAAGGAAGGCTCTTTCGGAATTGCATTATTTTCAATGGAACTTTAGACCTATATTAGGGTTAGGGGTGTGTGCCAGGGTAGGGTTAGGGTTACAAAAATGAGGTGTCCTGGCATGATTTTGATGGTTGGAATGTGTTTAGAATGGGCAGTAATGGTGAGCTGTGCAGGAAAATCTACTCAAGGAAGGCTTTTTAAGAATCCCTCTCTTGTCAGTGGAATTTTAGCCCTATATTAGGGTTAGGGGAGTACACCAGGCAGGGTTAGGGCAGCGGTGGTGAACCTATGGCACGTGTTCCACAGCAGGCATGCAGAGCCCTCCCTGTCAGAACGTGAGCCAAGTCACCTCAGCATCGCCCCAGCAGCTGAGCATCGGACAACAGCACTCTTAGGGGCCATGCGCATGCTCGGAAACAAGTAGCAGTGCCAGGCAATGATGTCACGAGCCGCGACTCATTAGCCGTGACTCATTTGAGCTTTCGCATGGCTGGTCACATGGCCAAGAATATATATATATTTGCTTGGACTGGCTGTGAGTTGTTTTTTCTAAACTAAAACCTCAGTTTTCAGGTTTTATTGCAGTGTTGGCACTTTGCAATAGATAATGGGTTTTGTGTTGCAGTTTGGGCACTCAGTCTCTAAAAGGTTCACCATCACTGCTCTAGGGCCTTCGGGGGTGGGGGGTGTATTCAGGCTGATTTTTTATTTTTTAATTTGGCAGTTCTCTAAATGCTTTGTTACAAGCAGAAATTAGCAGTGGCACATTGAGCATGTTGACTTGTTTCACATGTAATGATAATCCTAAATAGGGCTGTTGTTGAACAGTGGGTTGTAGTTCCATGCAGATCCCTCACTATGGTTTAATGATGGGTTGCTAACCACAGACAACTCAAGAGTTTAGAACCCGATAACAAACCATGGGTTTTCTTCCTGTTAAGGCATAGTGCAGAGTTCACATGTAATGGTTACCTACAATCCTACAATTCAGTGACAATTACAGTTTAACTACAACCTGTTCTTTGGTTTGTCCTCATGTGCCTCTTTGTCCTTTTGACAGAGTGGTCTGACATTTTGCAGTGACACAATCTGATCAAGCCTAGAACGGGTTCCCATTCTTGTTTGCAAGCGTTCAAAGGAACCCATGTTAATTTTGCTTCTCTTTTGTGTCCTCTAGACGCAGATGTTCCAGAGCCACCAAAGCCTCCGAATGTGGACAGCTTGTGTCACTGTGGTACCTGTGGCCGAAGAAACATCACAGGGTCAGCCCAGGAAGGCAGGGGGTTTTGCAGTGAGAACTGCCACCAGCAATTCAAAGAAAGGTAAAGCAAACAAAGCCCCTACCACAGGTGCAGGCACAGCCACGTGGCCCCCAGCCTGGCCGCTTGCATAATTAAAAGGCTGGCCGGATAAATGGGTATGGTGGGCCAGATCCGGCCTGCACGCCGTAGTTTTAGGATCCATGATCTACAGGGATCCTACAGCTGTTGAAGCGGCAGATTCTGGTGCCCAGTGGCAAGCACCTCCCGCAGCTTGTGAAGCATTGTTATTTGTAGAAGCTCTAAGTCTTGCTCGGCTTGGCTTTGACAGGTCTGTCATTGTGGAGAATTCTGCTGGCAGCACCAACTCCACTGAAATCCTCAAGCCAGTGAAGAAGCGGAAGAGGAAAGATTATCAGAGCCCCTCCGAGGAGGAAGAGGAAGAGTCTGAGCAAACGGTGTGACTGCAGTGTTCTCACATGTATTTGCAGTAGAGTCCTGTAGCCATGTGTGTGTATGTGTAGCACTCCTCATTTGATTGGCCTGAATTACAGCCCGCCATGCCATGACATCATCATTCCCTCTCTGGATGCGCTCCAGATGCTTTGGGCTTCAAAATCCCCAGTCATTGACCTTGTTGGGTGAAACTGATGGGAGTTGTAACCCAACACATCTGGGTCTACTTGGTGGGCTCTATGGGTTGGCAGCACTGGGCACTGGACACACAAGTTCTCACAGACCACAATTGTTCATTTATTTATCCTTCTTTTTACTTGGAACCCCAGAAGCGGTTCATGACATTTATAAAGTGCAGCAGATGCATTGGAAACCACGCATTTTGATATACAACAACATCAGTCCACCTGGAGCAGGAGTAGGTTCCTGGTGCTGATCCCCCTGCCTCTCTTCTTCCCTCTCTAGGATTCCTTATCACAGCGGGAAGTACAGTCCAGCTGGAACAGGAGTAGGTGTCTTGTGTTTCCTTCACCTGCCTCCCTTCTTTTTTTGTTCCACCCCACATGGCAATAGGTAGTAGATGGTCCTGTGATGTGGCAGGGTACAGTCCAACTGGAGCTGATGTTGGTTGCTATCTTTCTCTGCCAACTTCCCTGTGCCATTCATTCCTGCAGGGCACTCGGTGTTACCTGTTGGCTCCTAAGAGGTTATAGAATGCTATACAAGTAAGGAGAGAAACACAAATTGGTAGACCGGTACCTCTTGGTAGATCTCTGGGTGATTTGCTATCATTCTTCAAGGGTTTCTGGTTTCTGATTGTTCAACAACAATAGCAACTATTTTAGCTTGGTTTTATTGGTGACTTTTGTGCAATTCTGTTCCAATTTGTTTTATATCTCCTTAGTGACTTCTGTCGAAAGGTGATATGGAAGTTTATTTTTTAAAAAATAAAGGAACAAACAGGTTTCCCCCTTCTAAATTAGGCTGCTGAAATGAAGAACACTTGGGAGAAAACTCATATTAATTAAAAGATTTTCTTCCTCATAAAATCACACACACAGGAACACTAAAGATCTTATTAGCCTTGCTAGGAGAAAAACAGGTGCATAAAACTGGTGTGTCTTTCTCCTGAGCATGGCTAATGGCTGCTTGGAGAAAGGCAGTTATTTTGGAAAGGTGCAGGAGGAAAGAGTTAACCTCTTTCTTTTCCAGTGCCACTGCTTCAGGAAGAATCAGAGAACTCCCCTCCTAGTCAGCTTCTTTGAAGTTAAAACAAACAAAATTGAGAGGCCTGAGCATGGAACTTGTGCATCACATTTGTTCTGGCTCTAAAGTGTCAATGCTTTGAGGCTTGAATCATTTGCCTGGTTACCTACACTCTTTCTAACTGAATATTTTTAATTCAGAAAGTCAAGGACAGAAGAAGGAAAGAAGGGCCAAATAAGAGATGGGTTGACTCCATAAAGGAAGCCACAGCCTTGAATTTAGAACAGCCAGGCAGGGATGTCATGGGTAGGACAGCTTGGAGGGCTTTCATTCATATGGTTGCCATAAGTCAGATGATGGACAGCACATAACAACAATGCAAAAGCAGTGCAAGTTGTCAGTTCTCTTTCATCCCAGGGAAATTCATCCCTGGAACTTTCTGCCATTCAGGAAAGTGGAAGTATGTGAAGCAAGAGATGGATTTAGTCACAGTAAAAAAGTGCAATTTTGTCTGTATGACATAGGAAGTGAAACAAGAGGAAACAAATGGCTCTGGAGGAGAACTTCCTACCAGCAACATTGACAATGAAGAATGGCACGCAAGTCAACTTGGTAAGTGAATAGCATGGCTTTCTTGCTTGAGCCATTCAATTTTTTGGTTTGCTAGGCAAGTTCCTTGCCCAAATATCGAAGGCTATCCCTTATTTTGCTCCTGCTATGTGGAAGATGAGGGCTGAAACAAAGATTGTTTCTGGATTTGCACATCATACTATACCACGCAGGGGCAGAGTATCTCTGTGTCGTTCAGCACAGAGGGAGGAGGCAAGCATCTGGGTACCAGCACACACACTTCAGAATGACTCCAGGTATTTAATCATCAGTTGTATTGTCCGAACTAGCCCACTGGACCTTCAGAAGCTGAGAGTGGATGAGGGTCGTCGTGGGGACAGAAGGGAGAGAAAAAGAACTAGCCTTGCGTTCCTGTTTTCTAAGCCTTGCCTCCAAGTGTTTAAACATGGAAATGCCAGTGGAACTACAATGGCTTTGATGGTTTGTATTCTACTTTTCTCAGTTTCTGGTGAGGAGAAGACAGACGGCTGGACCTGGGCGTCTTACCTGGAAGAACAGAAAGCTGCAGCTGTCCCTATAAATTTGTTCCAGGAAGTAAGTTAGAATGTTCCTGCATCTGGTTTCCAGGGTGTATCTACACTGCATGCTCAAACTGGCTCAATAATCTTCATGTCTCCACTGAGGGTTTTGAGTGTGCTTGTTTCATGAGGCAGATTAAGGACTTCCAAACAAGAATTCTCAGCACTGTCATAAAATAACTTTTCTGGTTTCTGTGTGAGAAGCCATAGCAGTGAAACAGATATAAAATGGATATTCCATTAGGTGTTTAATATATTTCTGACACAGTTTGCCAGCTCAACAATTTAATCACAACTTCTGCATATTTTAATTAAAAGTCCAGTCATGCTAGTTTCACTTTTATTTGGCCACACTGGCAGCAGAAAACCTCATGGGAGAGGCATTCTAGAAAGTTTGAGAATACAAATGTATCTATAGTGTATTCTTTTTGAGAGTGAAATGTTTTGGAAGCAATCTATGATGGTTTAATATTTTGATTAGAAGTGCTTGGTTTAAGATTAATTTGGCTTGGCTGTGTTGGTAACATTTTCAGACTGGTACAGAACACCATCACTACCTGCAGTTTATGGGTTGGATAAACACGAGCTATTCCAAGCAGTGTAGGGCTCCTTCCATTCACAGAAGGTGCCACAATCTAGTGGAAGCTCCATGTGGAAGGAAGGGGATAGGGAAGTAATCTTCACTGATTCAGTCTTTCCCCAGTAACTGCAGATGAACCCCCAGCCCTCCAGAACAGCTAGAGGCACAGGGGGTGTGGGCGGAAGGAAGGTTTGTGAAGATCACCTCCTTACCTTTCTCAATGTTCATTTCTTTCAGCACCAGTTGGTCACCCAGCACAAGAATGGTTTCAAGGTGGGGATGAAACTGGAGGGGATCGATCCCCAGCACCCTTCTATGTATTTCATCCTCACAGTGGCAGAGGTGAGATGGTTTTGATTGCACTCTGTATTCTGGCACATCTCAGTGGTGGAAAAGCAAAGTGCCTTTCTTGGGATCACTTCAGCCTTCTCTCATTTTGTCTCCAGTATCATTTCTGGGGGTAGTTTACAACATTGCCATGAAAGAAATAAGGCATAATGACAAGGAAACAACATCATTAGGGCTGCCCCAAGATGTATTGCTGCTTGAGAAAAAGGGCAAGATAGCGCTTCTGCTTAGCCACATACAGAAATTGACTGGACTGGTCATCGACTCTTTCTTCAACATTGCTGACCAGGCAGCATCCCCACTGCATCCGGCTTAAGGGGTGCAGAGCAGGCAGCAATAGTGGCACCCAAACACTTCAAATACACATTGGTGGGTTCTCTGTTCTATGATGGGCAGCTCCTCCTACTGATTCAACAGGCAGAGCTGGGTCAGTGCAAACTGCTGAAGAGTACGCCATCCAATTCCAGTCCTTGCTGTCATAGAAAAAACACCAGATTTCTAAGGTCTGTCCAAACTTCACATTCATCACCAAAGGGTCTTTTCTGAGTCCCTTGCATTCTACACTCAGGTAGCCACAGAACCTAGAGAGTGCTCTTAATTCAGTTGATCCTTATATGTGCAATGGCTCTTTTTCTCCTGACACCAGACTTTTCAGCACTGGCTGAAGACTATATTTTTAAAAAATTCTTGAGGTTTTCCAGCAAATTACTACAACTGGTTTCTAAGTCATTGTTTTTGTTGATGTGTGCTGTATTTTATCACTCTGCTACATCTAGTCACTTGCTTTTCTAATATTGAACATTCACTGTGAATGTTCATTTATTCTTTCAGTGTATGAGCTGTCCTGAGAATTTTTAAGATGAAAAGAGCCAAAGGATAAGAATTTAAAGTATCAACTTTCCAAATAAATTACTTCAGTTTAAATAGAATACAGGGATACAATTGGCAAAGTATAGAAGTGGACAAAGGATGGCATTTCCAGTGAAGGGGGTAGTAAAAAGGGATTATTGGTTTTAATTGGTTGGGTGTTGGTTATTTCTTTTATTGATATATTTTTAATTTATCCATTTTATGTTGCATTTTCAATCTTTTCTTTTAATAAGTATTTATTGTCAGCTGCCTCTTTTTAATGGAAAGATGGGATAACAAATAATAGTATGGACTCAAGCACTGATTGGATTCTGACAACTTGATAGCCCATATCTAAAGGTTGAGTATGCATTGTCATTGAACTGTGGATTGTGTCATCTGAACCCAGTGGTGCTACCAATCCATGGCTTGTTAACCATGTACAACCCATGAAGAGAACTTACGGTTGTTAGATTGTTAAAGTGGGTTGTTCGCAGTTGTTTACTAGTGCAGCTGGGTTCAAACAGCATGATGATCCATTTTCAGCAACAACCCATGGTTCAGTGACAACCCACACACAACCTATGCTCAGCCCTTGAAAGTGGATTATTGTGTTGTCACTGTGACCTGAGATTGTCTGCTGCTGATATGCATGTGTGCATAGGCAACTTTTCCCAGTCTGGTGGCCCCAAGATGCTTTGCACTTTGGTCCCCATCATTTGCCATCAGCATTTGCCAAGTGCTGTCAGGAATGGCAGGAGTTATAGTCCAGAACCTCTGGAGAACACCAGACTGGGCAGGGCTAGTATATCCACAAGTATCACTTTTGACTCTTTCATGTGTGTGCTTACTGGATTTCAGTGCTATTCTGTATGAGACACGGACCCTACATATTCTGATCCATTTGCAGTCCCTCTGTTGGTGCATTAGGTCATAAAAAAGTTTCAGGACTCACAAAGGTGCTGGGTTAATTTGGTCTTTCACAAAGGCAATATTGTGGAATCTTGTTTCCCGGAGCACTCTGAGATTTCATCTGCAGAGCCCTTTTCAGTCTGAATTGGGTCCCTTGTGAATGTTACTATGGGGTAGAAAGCTGAGGAGACCCATTTTAAAATCAAATCTACATGGTAACCATCACGCAGTTTACATTCAGATTATAGAATGGGAAGTTCAGGAAAGATGAACTGAGAATTACTGTCCGGTGCCTGTTTTTTATTTTTTTGTGTTTTTTTTTGGGGGGGGGGGCAATTGGTCCATGTCTGTCTCAGTTTTATTTGTTTATTTATTCAATTTATATGCCACCCCACTAGCCATAGGCTCTCTGGGTGGCTTACAGCATGCTACATTTTACAGTCAGAACAGTTTCAACATATCTCCCTTCAGTTGATCAGAGGTGGAAACTTCCAGGAAGTCAAGAAGTCCAGGAAGGTTTGCAAAATGAAAATTCAGTCAATCAGATGGAATGTCTCTTTTTTTCCTGTGGCTTTCTTGCATGCAGGTATGTGGTTATCGGATGCGGCTTCATTTTGATGGCTACTCTGAATGTCATGATTTCTGGCTGAACGCCGATTCCCCCAACATTCATCCTGCTGGCTGGTTTGAGAAGACAGGACACAAACTCCAGCCCCCCAAAGGTAGGTGGATGAGGACAATGGATTTATGGTGATGGTTCAAAGAGAGCTTCCTGCCTGGGGGCAAGAGAAAACCAGCACCTTTGTATGGGTGGAGAGGGAGGAGCAAGAGAGTACCGTGGCCCCACTGGCTCCTCCAGCTGTTGGTGGGTTGTAACTTCATCAGCTCTAGCCAACACAGTGGTGAGAGGAGAGCTGTCCAGTAACATCTGGGCAGTCACTCATGGCTTGTTGTTGAGTTGAGGGTTCTTTGGTTTGTTTTCTTGGCTGGGTTCAGATGACATGTTAACCCATGTGTCAAGACCATATATGCCATGGTTTAACACTGAACCCAGTCAGTGTCACAAATCAGACAGATCAAAATCAGAGAGGCCTCAGCACCATTTTAAAGTATCTCAATGGTGTATGATGGTCTCTTCTGGTTTCCTCAGTGGCATCACAGGAGAAGATGACAGCCTATCAAGGGCTTTCTCCATTAACTGTGGTTTCTGTAGGTCAAAGAAGAAAGTGTGGACCTCGGTTGATATTTCTCTGTTTCTGTCCCCTTTACTTGAGGGGTTTTAGGTTACAAGGAAGAAGAGTTCAACTGGGCCAATTATCTAAGGACCACCAAAGCTCAGGCTGCTCCCAAGCACCTCTTTGTGACCCGAGACAGTGTGAGTGGTGACTGCTTCATCTTACAAACCAACCTCTTTATTTATGCTCTTGAAAGATAGACATTGACATTTGTGTCACAAAAATACTACCTGCAACTTCAGTGTGTTTCAAGAAGTAATGGATTGGTCCAAATATGTCAGCTTAATTTGGAAGCACAAAATTAGGTCTGTCAACCAGTTAAAAGATTTAATTGGATTAATAACCTTGCTTTTAAAAGGATTGATTACTTGATTAAATTTAAATAAATTACCAAACTGCAGTATAGATGTGAGGTGTTGTTTTCATTGTAGATGTGCTGAATGATATGTAAGATAGAAAAATACTCAGCTGGCTTTTAGGTTTGACCACCACCTGCTGATGAAACAGCTAAAATTTTAATCTCTTTGTTGAGCTAATTATTTTAAAAAGTAGTGGATTATAGCATTTCAATCCAACCTAAATATGAGATATTGATGGCATATCAGACCTCCTCCGAATTCACTCTGATATGAAACCTTGTGAGGTCTGCTCCATTCTTAAGCAGGTACACCACAGTGTCAAGCTGTAGCAAGTTGCTCTCCACTCCTACCCTATTTAGACTTGGTTTGGATGCCAACAGAAAGTACATAGTGTGTCAGCACAAGGCCAGGGAAGGGAAGTGGCAGAGTGCTTCTGCTCTCTCCAACACCACTGCTTGCATCAGTGATGGGCAAGCGGCAGCACTACACCTGACTTCAGAGGAATGTTGGCCTGATTTCAAAAGGAATCTGCAAGCCATCAGTTCAGACCTTTGGCAAGAGAGATCTAGCTCCACCTCAGCAGCCGGCTGGGGGGGGAAAAAGAATAAGATAGAAAAGGGGTTGTTCCAACCACCCCTGGCTTCTTGTCCTCTCACTGGTTGAAAGATTACCCTGGAGGAGGAAATGCAACTGTTGGTGGAAACAATGGTTCTCCATTCCTGGTTTATCAAGTTGGTGCATCTCACTCTACCAACTAAGAAGGAAAGGCCTAGCAAGTTAGGTGTGATATGCAGGAATTTTGCATTTATGGTTACACTGAGAATGTTTAAGGCTGAGATACAGCCTCTGTTTGAAGGCCTTTCACAAGCAAGATGCTATTCTAAATGACATAGGGAAGTAAAGAATCCAGACTGCCAAGAGTTCATACATCCTTTGACTTCAAAGTGACTGGCAGCTGAGGAGATGTAGAGCTGCTATCAGAGACAATTTAGCTCTGATCACATAATACTGGAAACAAGTAGCTGCAAACTATGTCATGCTAATATGGTCCTCCTAAACACTGTTGGACACAGTGTACTGGACAAGATGGACACTTGGTCTGATCCAGCAAGGCAGTACTTACAGAGGATGAACAGGTCCTGGGTGTGTGGGCAGATGATTGAGGTGGTGATCTCACTTGCACAGCAATGGGATCTGGAGTTTGTGACTGCAGGTAAACCCAGTTGGTTGTGTAATAAAAGGCCTTCGGTTGTATAGAAAAGTGTAAGGATTACTAACTCTTGATTTTCTGTAGCTAGTCAAGGAAGGAGCAAGCAAGGAAAGCAGAGGTGCTCCAGGAGTCAACATAAATCATACAAGAAGACTTTAAATATACATCCAGCAATATTTCCACATGGCACATTCCAATAATGCAGAGATGTACAAATGAATAATGCATCCACACACATTATACCTATGTTGCTGGGTGGGCATATGAAGTCTTACTGTATGGTTGCCTGTTAATCTTGTCCAATTGTGTGCATCTTTCCCAGAGGGTCAGGATTTTCCCTTCCAATGGAGCATGGTTTGCATGGTAAAGACTCACATAATCAGTCTTTCTGCATGTTTACACTGTCCATGCCACCTGTACACCAAAAGTTTGCATCACTCTTTCCTCTCTCATCCCTTTTCTCAGAATGCTGCTCCCACGGGATTCCAAGTGGGGATGAAACTTGAAGCGGTGGACCGTATGAATCCTTCTTTGATATGTGTTGCCACAGTGACAGATGTGGTGGACAATCGTTTTTTGGTGCACTTTGACAACTGGGATGACACATATGACTACTGGTAGGTGAGAGATGAGTACAAAGGAACAGCTTCACTCATCCTTGATGAAAATTGCCTGTGGTCCTGATGAAAACTGCATCAGCAGCTTGCCAGCTTAATAGTAATGTAAAAAGAGCTGTAGTTTGCATACACAACAAAGTAACATCTCGTGCTTTGCAGTCATGCTATATAACATCTTATTTGTATTACAGGTGTGATCCCACCAGTCCTTATATCCACCCAGTCGGTTGGTGTCAGGAGCATGGAAAACCTCTCACTCCTCCACAAGGTGAATACCTGATGGTTGTCAGCTTTGTGTCTTGCCACAGATGCTTCACACACAATGGCCTGCATCATGGTTTATTTAACCATGGTTTGTTGCCATACCAGGTGTTTGTCTGGCAGATGACTGAACAAACTGTAGCTTGTTTTCTCATCCCTGGGTTTTTTGATTCCCTCCTGTTTCATCCATTTCCTCCCTTTATTCCCTCCCTGTATCCCAAATGCCTTTTCATTGCTATAATGTTGGGATATAGAATGACTGGATATTTTTATCGCTCTTGCCCACCATCTCTGGAGCTTGGTGAAACAGCCCATAGTGCTGACTGAGATCATGCTTAACAACAGTCCAGAGTTTAAACAACCCAGAGTTCGCAGTCCAGCGAGCCATGCATTTTTGTTTTTCTTGGCAAAGAAACCATGGTTTGTCAGCTGAGATATGATTGCACATTACAACAAACCCAAATTTGCCAGCTCATACAATGGATTAACATTACGTGCAAATGAATGAATGCCCATTGGACTGTGAATCCTGGAACTTTTTCCATCACAGAGATGAATCTGACACCAGCTGCAAATTGGCAGCATCATTTGCATGTTAAAATGCATACCTTTTCAGACATAGAAGCCAATAGGAATCTTCATGCCAAATAAGAGTAACAGGAAGTAATCAGGAGGCTTTGCTAAAATCTTTGCTGCAAATATTTTCTGGCTGGTTTCAAGAGTAGGCATGTTGAGGCAGTTGCTGAGGGCCCTCACCCCAGCAGGGGCCCACTGGCGGAGCCCCCTGCACTGCAGGCTGCCTGCTCAGCTGCCTCTTGCTCTGGCCCAGTGCTGTGAAGGAGGAAGAGTAGATGCCCTCTCTATTGCTCACTGGCTCTCAGTTTGTCAAGCAAGCAAGTGGTAGCAATGATGAGAAAGACGAGGAGAATCAGTAGCCACTGGTGACCATAGTGGCAAAGAGGTTGATGCTGAAGGGGGCCATTCAGGTAATCTTGTCCAAGGTCCCCAAAAAAACATGCAAATAGCATTGGCAATGTAACCAATTCTATTGCAGTACAAACCACAGTAATGAAAAGACAAGTAAAATCAGTGAAACAAAACCAAAATGTGCAGAGATTTAAAATATCTGTTTAAATAAAAAAGTCTGTCATGGTGCTGGAAAGCTTATAATGGGAGCACCTTTTGGGGGAAGGCATTCCATCACCGTGGGCAGATGTCTTTGATGATGCCACTTTTGCCTCTGGTTTGCTGTTTCATTTTAAACTTTCTTTACGAATAGGCAATGTTCCCATGAGTCAGGAACGAACCTTGTGCAGGGCCTGGGAAGAACAAATGTGGGCAAATGTAGAAGGAGCATTTGGACCTGGCCAGTAGTTTGCACAGATTTTGGCCAGCACTGACTACCTTTAGTTCCTTAGAGCTTATTGCAAGTAGTATGTGATTCCGAGGCCTCTCTAGCAAAAGCATTGTCATCTGGCAGGGTCTTTCATTTCCAGACTATCCTGATCCTGAGAACTTCACCTGGGAAAAATACTTACTGGAAACAGGTGCTTCTGCAGTGCCAGCATGGGCCTTTAAGGTGGTGAGTACTTAACATCTTTCTCTAGCCTGCGCTATAGAGTCACATGTATTTTCAGGGAAGAGGGTGGAAGGAAAAGCAGGAGGATAGGAAAGTGTGACTGTCCCAAGCTTGATTTCACTGAGCTTCATTCATTCATTCATTCTCTCTCTCTCTCTCTCGCTCTCGCTCTCGCTCTCGCTCTCGCTCTCGCTCTCGCTCTCGCTCTCTCTCTCTCTCTCTCCATTTTAAGTCTATTCCATTCCAGCTGCATACTGGCTTGGGCTTTTGGGCTTTTTTTTAAAGTCAGCATGACAATTGATATACATTTTCATGTGCATTTTTAACAAATCCACATTTTTCTTCATATTTTCCTAAATGTGGGCATCTCTACATCTTTTTGTAAATATATTCATTATCCCATTGAATAATGTACTTTTGTGCACATTTTTAAGAAAAAATGCATCTTTCCTTGCATTTTTTGAAATGTAAGCATTTTGTATCCTGTTTTTGGACAACTGCATCACAAACATCAAAAATTTAGAGATTTTTACAGCCTGTCCTCCAGAAGTGTGAATGTTGTAATAAGCATGAAAGTACCAACAAAATTAATTTCTTACCTATCCATAGAGGAGGTTTTTCTGCTCTTCATGCATGTCCGTGTAAATGTTCATGCTTACATGTCATGTAAATGTAAGGCATACACCCCCACTTGGATCATCCTTTTCTGGATGCTATGATTTAGCAATATGCAAGCCTTCACAGTCTGGCAATTTCCGGGGAAGTAGTGATCTGGATTACTACCTCCGAGTAAGGAACAAACTGGGTGCACACACTGACATCCTTTCCTGGAAAGGAAGGGGTTGTGGGTGCAGGGAAGGTAATTAATTGCTTGTAGGATCTTGTTTCACCCATTCCCTTCTCTTCCCTACCCTTATTTTTTCTCATTCCAGAGGCAGCCCCATGGCTTCTTGATCAACATGAGGTTGGAGGCTGTGGACCGAAGGACTCCATCCCTGATCCGAGTAGCCACTGTGGAAGATGTAGAGGACTACAGAATAAAGGTGGCTTGTTGTTGCTCTTATTAAAATGTCTAAGACACCTTTCTCCAAAAGACTCAAGGTGTCTTACAACAGGGATTAAAATATTCAAAAAATGTAAAATGATTTTCCCCATGCTGTGCATACCATCTTTCACTTCCTGTTATTCCTCCTTTCTTGCTTTATGGTGGCATCATAGAGAAACAGCAAGGAATCTTGTGGGAGCATATAGACCAGTTTATTATGGCATAGGCTTCCGTGAACATAATCCACTTCATCAGCTCCATGAAATGTTATCCTCAATTGAAGGAATGGTTGAAGTAGATGGGATGGGAGAACTGAGCTTAGAGAGCACTGAAATACAAAAAAAAAAAAACAGGCCGTTCTGTTACCTTAACAGTAGCCATGCACAGCGCAACTGCTAGATGCCAACACAGGCATCTTTGCAGTGTTGAACTATGTTGCTGAATCATGGATTGTTGCATTGTGTGAATACACAAATCATAGATTGTTGAACAACCCACAGTTCATAGAGCAATGACAAACTGAGTTCTGTCTGTGGGATTTTCCTGATTAACAAGCCATGGCTTGTTAGTTCAGCTGGGTTCACACAGTGCAACATTCCACAGTTCAACAACAACCCATACTCAATCCACAGTCAGCCCATACTCTGACTTCTCATGTTGTATGAACTAATTGTTCAATGAAATGAAATCGTTGTTTAAGGATGCTTCCTCTCAGTAGCTCACTAGGGTCTGGAGGGAGGTTTGTTCTGGAAAGCCACAAAATTTGGTTCTGGGTATCCTCTTCAGTATCCCAAGCACCTCATTTTTTTCTTTTCTTTTAAAAACACGCTTCTAGCATTAATAGTCAGTGCTGTTTTTGTCATAGAACACACCGGAACCAAGTTCTGGCACCTTTTTTCGACAGATTTTCAAAGTTTTAAAAGGAACCTTTGAAAATTTGATGTTTGGTCCATTTGGATTTGAATCGCCCTGTCGAGAGTAGCAGGTTGGCGGCAAAATCATTAAAATCATCATGCCGGCTGCTTGTGTGTCAAGCCCGATGCATGCGTACTTCATCCGTGCTGGTTGTGATGGCGATGCTCGGCTTGTGATTGGTCATGTGGTCGTGCGCTGAGTGCCTATTGCGGGCGGCGACCGTTATGTTTTGTTACACAACTGACGTGTGTGGGTGTGTGTGCAGTGATTGACTGCGTGCAAAAGGTAAAGAATTTCATGAGTTCCGGCACCTTTTTTCTTACAAAAAAAGCACTGTTAATAGTTAAGAAGATATTACGTCTGGGCTGTTAATTGTTTTCATGTTATGTTTTAATTCATTGTACTCTACTCTGAGAACTTGGGTTACTGAGTCAGCAAATGCATTTGGACAATGCCAGATGGAATCTCAGAGGTCATGGGAAACAGGTCTATAGGTAGTTTGCATAGGCAGCTCTTGCTGGGCCACATGGCTAGAAGAAGCAGAATATACGACAACAATATTTGTTTTATTGGCATAATTTATGCAGGGTTTGTTGAATATAATTTTCCATTATGCAGAATATTGATTATTGTTTGGGCGCACAAGGTTCAGCACCCTGCACAGCCCTGCCTCATGCCATTGCATCTATTACATTTGTTGCTGCAGCAGTTACCTAACTGGGGGGGCCAGTCCTGGCACCCATCAAAGCTAAGCAGGTGCTTAAAAGCAATGGAGGAGTCATGTGAATGCAGCAACGCCATCTGCTGCTCCCATGGAATCTCTGGCCACTTGCTTGTTGCTCTCCATTAATGTGTGTTTCCCACCTCCAGGAAGCCCAACATACATGACCCTCCTGCTTTCTTACAGTCCTCGCAACAACCTGGGAGGTAGAGTAGGCTTCAGTAGAAGGATGGGGACCCATTTACTGGTGTAACACATGAAGCAGCCCTTAAAGTTCATTTCTGTGCCAGAACTTTCTTTTCACATTTCCCTGTGCCTGTTTAATGCTCAGCACTGGAATTAATCAAAGGTCAACCTGTTGATTCATGCTCACAGATCCATTTTGATGGCTGGAGCCATATCTACGATTTCTGGATTGACTCAGATCACCCAGACATTCACCCTGTGGGATGGTGCTCAAAAACTGGACATCCATTGCAGCCTCCTCTCAGTAAGTACTAACATTCTGTACAACATTTGTGCATCCTGCAGCCTGTGGGAGGAGATGGTAGAACTGGTGCAGTGATAAATTCTGAAGTGAAGGCAACCATCATGGTAATCCCTATGACCATGCTACCAAGGAAATCCTCAAATTTCAGGCAGCAGAGTTGATGCATCTGAACAGATTTGTTCTAGGAGTTTCATCTCCACCAGGAGCATACCTTCTGTAAAGCTAGTGGGCTTTGGTTGCCTATTCAGGACTAAAACATCCCCTATATACATTGCATTACAACCAAGAACAATGAACACATTCACACAACATGCTACCCCCACCCTGGCTATAAACAGGTTGATTGTCATGGGAACGACATCAGGTGAGCTGGACGGGATTGTCTTGCAAAAATTACTCAGAGCAAAAGAAGCAAGCTAACAAAACAAAACAAGATTAGCCAACCACAGGGAAGCCTCTCCAAGGTGCTGCTGGCTCCACTTGGAAAGGACCTTCTGTACCTATCAAAATGGAAATTAAGAAAGCTGGCCAGACAGCTGGCCTTTGCAGTCTCCAAGGGAAAATGATTAAAGCTGTAGCATGGCTTTTGATTGTGGCAGAGTGGCAGTGGGGAAGCCCATGCCTGCTACCTCCAAGCACTGTTCAGGCACCGTTGGGTCAGCTGGCTTTGGTGGGTTCCAGGCCTGCCTGGCAAGAGGGGATTATGCTGTTTTAGCCAGGTGAGTCCTGTCTCCACAGTGGGATGTATCTCCTGGGCTTGGATGATGCAGCAACCCCTATAATAGGCCATTGGTCTTTGTTTGCATGACATAACAGCCCATGTGTCATGCAGACCCACACTGTGGGTAGGAACATTCATCCCCACCCCGGGCCTCAGCCTCGGCAGTAAAAATTGCTGCTAAACTCAGAAGGAGCAGGGAATTCTGCAGAGGTGGCAGATGATCTCAGAAGCCTTGCTCATGCAAACACGCTGCTGCTCGGTCCCTGCAAGTTAGTGCAGCCAGGAGCTGACTAGGGCAGGGGTCCTTGCTGTTGTACAGGTTCTGAAAGCCCAGCAACAGTCCCTGGATGCATTACATACTCCATCTAGCCTAGACCTACAATGCTATCATTACCTGCATTAGCCTCACCTATGAGTGATTTCTGGTTCTGCAAGAGGGCGCAAAAGCCCGACCTCATCCCCCTAACCTTGCTTGCTTTGGTTCCTCTCTCATCAGCAGAGTTAGTGGGGCAGCGGTGGGGAGGGGGGAGTGCTTTTTTTTAAAAGAGAAAAAGCAAAAAGAAAGCTGAGATTTACTAGGTTGCTCTTTCAGAAACCCAACTTGTGTATTATCCACTTATGCAAGCTTTTCAAATAGCTTTTATTTAGGAGCATTATGGCAGTGCTGCTGCTTGATACTAGGGGATATGGATATTTTCAGAGTTTTTAATGGTTAGGATTGAATTAGTTTTAACTGATGGTTTTATATAATTTGTGAAATTTCATTTTGTAGTTGTGCATTTTGTGAGGGTTTCAGTCTTAAAAGCCAGTTTAGAAATGAATGCTTCTGTAGATCCACTTATGAGTCTAAAAACAGAGCAGAAGGATAGTTATACAAAGAACCTTTCTTTCAAAAATGGTTTTTAAGATAAATACTGATGTCATTATCAATACTGATTTTTGGTTTCTGAGATGAGTCAGTATAAACATTCTCCATAAAATATAATGCTATATTAGAGAACCAAGTTCTCTGATTAGGAACTCATATTTGAAAGCAGATTTCCTCCTGTATGCAGTTCAAATGTTCCCATTTCAGTTAGTGCAACTCAGCCCAGGAACTTGACTCCTAATAACCAGATATATAGCATCTCATCCAAATTTGTCCATGTGACATTTAATCCTCTATCCTTGCATTGCACTCAGGTTTACACCTGAAAATCTGCAGCATAGAAGACAATTGAGAGCCTTTACAAAAAAATTTTTTAACCTCCAGCTTTTTCCTGTAGTGCTTATTTGCCCTTTCTCCAGTTTACTGCTAATGCATTGAAATCTCATGTTCATGTGGTGGATTTGGCAAGAAAAGAGGACTCCACACTACAGTTCATGGGTCTCGCTGTTTAAGGTGAACCTGAGCACTGACTTTATGCAGCTGGGAAGCGCTTGTCCAGAGGATGGGACTGGAAACTAAATTGTGGCAGTGGAGAAATCCCAATCTAAATTGTTGTCTGCATTTTTCTGCAGGGCCGAAGGAACCTGTCTCTTCAGCCAATGGGAGCTGTCCAACCTTGGCCTGCAAGACCCTCCCGAACACGAAGAGCTCCAAATATAGCTTTCACAGGTGAGTCCTGAGCACAGGGCACAAGGGGAATACACTGCTCACTTATGTTCCCACTAGGAGTAACGTCCATATAACAGCAAGCCTGGTATAACTGCCATCAACTTAAGATAATGATAATAATAATAAGTTTGTTTTTTTTTTAAGGACAAGTAAAAAGGGAATATATCCAGTTTACTAAATTGCACAGTTACTAAATTGCACAGTTACTAATTTACTAAACTGCACGCTAGGCTTGCACAGTTTAGGATTAACAAAACCAGAAGAAGCTGCCAGCACTACTCCACGATGTTGATAGCCCTTTTGTTGCCAGAGGTTGGCTTCCTCTTGGGAGCTGGTCTCTCTTTCCAGGCATCTTTCTTTTTCCCTTCCCAGCAGATCAGGAGAAGAGTGTTTTATTATGTTTAAACTGGCTAGCCAATACAGTGATGCAGTGGTTAAGAGTGTCGGATTGTGGGGTGGGGGGGTCAGGCGATCCAGGCACTAGTCCCCATTCAGCTACGGAGCTCACTGGGAGACTTCGGGCCAGTCATAGACTCTCAGCTCACCTACCTCACAGAGTTGCTGTTGTGGGGATAAAAGAGGAGGAGAATTCTGTAAGCCACCTTGAGCTCCTTGGAAGGAAACAAGGTGAGCTATAAATATAATAAATATACAAAACTAAGTGAATACTACAAAGGCTATTAACATGAGACTGCTAATTATGCGTTTAGTACTGCCCATGCCCGAAGGTGATTCCAAAGTGAATTCCCTTCTCTTTCTCGCCAAGCGGAGTTTGGGTTAGGGTTAGGGTTCTTTGTCATGGCTTCTGTGCATCACACACATGGGTGCTGTCCCTGCACAGTGCCTATTTTTGGGAAGATTCTCTCAGCTATAATGGGTTTAGTGTGGTTTGTGATCGGATGGCAGGATGCCAGATGTTTAATTGCAGGATGCTTAATTGGTCTTCTCATTTCACCTGGTGTCAGACCAGTTGAAGTACATGCTATGTGCTTCCCTTTCTGACCCCACCTATTCCACAGGGTCTCCCCCTGAACAAGAGAAGTCTGGTTTTCACCAGACTCTAGGCTTATCTTGTAGTTCATTAGCCTTGGCAATTCAGCTAAGCATTTCAGCCTCACCTCATCTTGCAGTTCAGATTCAGAGAACGAGGTATCCACCTTAGAATGCTGCAATTTGGGAGCAGCAGGCCTGGTCCCTACACTGCTTGAAGTGAAGGACAAAAACCAACTGGACCATCAGGTGAATTATTCTTCACTACCTGCAATGGGACAGCATCCTCTGCTACACCTGAAAGTATCAGGCTAGCTTAGGAAGCACAGAGTGTGCTGACTTGCTCACAGCAGGGCCCAACACCTTGCTGTTGTTCCCCAGCATCTGCCACTTGAGGGCCAACCCTACCCCACTAGGGCCAGACCTGGCTGCAACAGACCAGAAAAAACTGGGGAGCTATGAAATGCTGGCAGAATATACTTCATGGCTGCATTGTGCTTGATGAATCAGAAGCTGAGCCAGACTGTCCTGTGCCATTCTTTGTCTGGGTGTCTGCCCATATCTGCGACAGCTGTCAACTATGCACCTTTCTGATCTACTCTGATCCTCAGAAAGTGTCCAACACCTGGTTGTGATGGCTCAGGTCATGTGACAGGGAGATTCACAGCTCACTACTGCATCTCAGGGTGTCCCCTGGCAGAGAAGAACCAGGGAAGAATGAAGGCTGATCTCTCAGACACAGAAAACTCTGTTCGAAAGCGGAATCTAATTGGCTTCTCTCAGCGGAAGAAATCTCGACACCACGGAAGGTAAGGAGAGAGCTGACACAATCAATATAGCCAGACAATCTTACCTAGAAATGTCATTGTTGCACACAAGTCAAGCCCTTCCCCTGTTTGTTATGGCTCCTCCAGATTATAGATTTGCTACTACACTGTATCTCAGTAGGCATTAGGGCTTTTCACATGCAGTGAGCAGCAAATTGTGGCTTTAACTAACCTACAAATTAAAGGAATACATGCAGGCTGCTTCCAGTTTCCAGCAAGAAGCTACAGATGATACAGTCATAGGTTGTTACTGTGATGTCTGAACTTGGGCACTCTATTCATGGGTCAAGCAACCCAAACTTAACCCAGGAACAAACCATGAATTAACTTGGGATTGTTTGGCTCACAAGCCAAAGTATGTGTGTTCAGATGTTACAGTAACAACCTATGTATGCAGTATTCATGGTCTGTTGTTGGAATCTGAAGGTGGATCCCCACAGTTCATATTTTAATTAACCTACAATTTGCTGTTGAACACCACTGTCTCATGCAAAACAAAGTCATTGCATCCATTAGGTTGCATCTGACATCCCATTCATCTCATTGGATCTACACTACATAGGACTAGGTTAGGGAAGTACCCATTTTCATTATACTGTTTCTCTAGCAGGTTGAGCTTGTCACAGCTGCTAATTTTATGCACTGTCTTTCTCCGCTACCACCAGCCCAGGACTAATAATTTATTTGACAGATAAAAATCCATTTTCCTAGAAAGCAGAATAGCTTGCTGCCGCATGTAAAAAACTGTTGGTTGGGGATTAACATCTGACACAGACATTAGAAAGGGGAACAGAGCAAGATCTCATGGAACAGTTTAAGAGCAACATGGTTCAGCAACCTTGCTGAAGCATAACAGGCCTGGACTGGATCAGGTAGGAGGACCCAGTGTATGTTGCCTTGAGTGCCACATGAACACATGAAATATAAAGATACTTAAAATACATACATAGATGTCAAAAATCAAAGGTAACCATACTGGCCATAAAAAATCCAAATCCGGTTTGAGCAATACTTTTATTAAGACAATTCAAAGTTTCTCCCTAAATGGCATACAGAAACATACCATGAAAGCAAAGCAGCCCATCCCAAATTCTCTTGAGCTGGTAGGGCTTATGGGAGAGTCTTCACCTCTGTTAGAGTGAAGAACCTCTGCTAGAGACCATTCAGCCCTCCTGTTAGGCTGTCCCATGTCCTCCTCAGGACACCTCAGGGGCACCTCCTCAGTTTTAGAGCCACTGATTTAATGCAGCTACAAAACAACGAACTGTTAGTGTTTTCTATACTGTTTGTAGAATCTCTGTCATTTTGGTTGGTTCATTCCTGCTTCATGTGTTTGGAGGGAGCTGCATTGTCTTTGCATAGTGGAAGAGCTACAGATTCACTACATGACAGTTTAACTCACTGCTTTACCAAGACTTCTGCTTCTGTTTTCTTTATGAGATTAAAAATAGGTCCTTTGCAAGTTTGTTTGTTTGTTTGTTTGTTTTGCCAGAATTTTTAACTCCTCTGCAGTTCTCTGTCTTTCATGACACAACCACATGATGGTGCTGCAGTATAGCTGTGATATTTACAAAATTTCACAAACCTCTCCTAGGGCTATATCACATTGTTAAGAAATAACAGCTGACTTCCTTGCTTAGGAAAAATAAAAAAGCTGATATAATTGCTGCAAAACACAGGAGGGGACCTGAATGATGATGATGTCACATAAAAGATCCCATGAGTGAGCGATCATGAGCACATAATCAATGCAATGCCTCGTGTGTGGGAGCCCCTCGTTTCCCCACCCCCCTCCCATTCCATCACATCCATATTTGATGTGACCCGAGCTCTCCATGTGAATGCCTGACAGAATCAGGAATGCCCCACAACATTTCTGATAAGAAAATTAGCAAAAACTGAAGTAGATAGAAAAACTATTAGGTGGATCCAAAATTGGCTGCTAAATCGAACACAAAGTCAATGGCACCTTCCCAAACTGGAGGGTGGTTACAAGTGGGGTGCTGCAGGGTTCATCCCTGAGCCCAGTGCTTTCCAACATCTTTATTAATGATTTAGATGAGGAAGTACAAGGAAAGATACTCAGATTTGCAGGTGATACCCTAGAAGACAGAATGAAGGTCCAGGGCAATCTTGATAAACTTGAATGCTGGGCTGAAAGCAACAAAACGAGATTCGATAAGGACAAGTTGTAAGCCATCCTGGCACATTTGAGAAGGACAGGGTAGAAATAGTGTAAATAAATAAAATAAGTGCCAAGTCCTCCACCTAGGGAAAAGAAACCAAATGCATCAATACAAGATGGGGAATACGTGGCTCAACAGAAGTGAAAAGACTTTAGAGTAATTGTGGACAACAGGCTAAACAAACAAGCTAAACAGGCTATGAGCCAACAATGTGATGCAGCCACCAAAATGGTAAAAGCTATTTTGGGATGCATTAATAGAAGTATTACTTCCAAACCATGAGAATTCATAGTTCCCCTAAACTCCTCACCAGTCAGTCCAGTCAGTTCTGCACACCAAGATTTATGAAAGATGCAGAAAAGTTAGAAAGGGTCCAGAGGAGAGCAACAAAAATGATCCCAGGTGTGGAAACACTGCCCTATGAGGAGAGACTGAGAGAACTGGGCATGTTCAGCCTTGGAAAGAGAAGACTGGGGGGGCATAATATCCCTGTATAAGTACCTCAAAGGCCGTCACAAAAAGGAAAGTCAAGATCTTTTGACACTGCAACCAGAGTGTAGGACACAGAATAATCAAGTCAAGTTGCAACAACCCAAGTTCAGGCTAGATAACAGGAGACGTTTCCTCCCTGACAGAGTGGAACCAGTTGCCTAGAGAGGTTGTGGGCTCTGCCACACTAGAGACATTCAAAAGAAACTGCACAGCTATCTGAGTGGGATGGTATAAATTGGTGACCTTACAACAGCAGGGGATTGGACCAGATGGACTTCATGGCCCCTTCCAACTCTACTGTTCTATGATTCTATGATTCTACCAGAAGTGAAAAAAATCCCTGCCTTTTGTGTGTGTTTGGCCCTTTTTTGCAGCTATTTTTGGTCTTTCCTTGCCTCCACTTGATTCCCCCCCACCTCCAAAAGTACGAACTAGGACTCAATTAATGGGGTGTACCGTAGCTCATCATCTTCTAATCAGTGCACTGTACCCTTTGAAGATAAAGCTGGTTTTATTTCTCTAGAGGGCGACCTCCAAAATACCGGAAAATCCAGCAGGAAGATTTCCAGAGTAAGTTCTTATTATCTCTGTCTTTGTTTTCATAACAAAAAGAAGGGTTTCTTCCACAAGAACAATGTTAAAAGACAGACAACAGAATTGTCAAAGGGCACATCACATGAAATAGCTCTGGTTTAGAATGAGGGATGACACCTAAGACAGATTTTAAATTGGATGTTCACTTGGACTAGTAGTTTTGTTAAAATATGGTTTGATGTTTCATGCATAAGTTATACTGCTTGGGATTAATTCAGCATTTTGCCAGCAACTAGCATCTTTCTAATGTGTCATGTGGGAAGAATTAAGAAGCTGTTTCTCTGCAAAGTGCAGATGCTGTTGAGATGTTTCTATAATGGGACTGGGCAACCAAATTTCAAAAGTGCTGTATCACTTATCAGCTTAGACCCCTGAAAAAAACAATCTCTCCTTCCCCTGCTGAAAGGGAAAGGGAATGGGAGTATGTAAGCAAAAGTGAAAGAAAGCGAGTGAGCTGGTTTGCATGTAATAACAGTCATGAGTATGGACTAGCTATAGTTTGTTACTGAATCATGGGCTGCCACTGATTCATGGATCCTTGCTCTATGGTTTAACTGTGGGTCATTCACCACCACCACCACAACAAAATAGAGTTTACAGCTTAACAACAAATTATGGTTGACTTTGTGGATTGTTCATAGTTAACAACCCATAGTTAACTCAAAGTCCTGGGATCACATAACAACAATCCACAATTCAACAAAGCTTTGTTAATGAAGCTGTGGTTTGTTTTGACATGTGAGCCAGGTCAGAGTGAGATGGGCACCCACTTTTGGCTCTGTTGGCCTTCTCTCCATGGTGTGTAGCCCCTTAACCATTACCCCTGAGGAAGCACAATTCTTATTGGGAATTTTTTTCCCATACCTCATCTAGATTCTGGCTAAACTCAGATTCTTTCACTTGGTTATCAGCAATCCACTAAAGCAGGGACAGATGGCATGCTGTCTGGGGGTTGCATCCAGGCTTTATGACAATCTTGTAACCTCAGTGTCTCCCACCAAATTTGTCACAGTGGCAGCAACAGAAAACACTACAATTTTGCTGGAGAACAAGTTGCAAGGGAAGCACATGCCTTTGGAAGAGAATCTGCTTCAGAAATGCAATTGTGCTTCCTCTTTTTTTCAGCAAAAAGTGTTGCTTTTTTTGCCGCTACCGCTGTGGTCATTTCACCAACAAAATCACTGCAGGAACAGCAGTATGGTCCCCTGTGGGTTTCAAGGGGAGGTGCAATCCTCTAATCTCCAGAAGTTGGCTAAATTTGTTCCTCCAGCACTGCCCTCAGAACCTCATGCTGAAAATGACCTGATGGCTGAGTGAATTCACTTCCAGCCCTTACTTGGTCATCTGAGGGTCAAACTGGAAGAGGCAATATCACTTTGGGTTCTGCAGAAATTATCAAAAGTGATGCAGGGGCAATGGCGGGGCTGGTGGGGAGCTGAACCACTCCTGTGATTTGTCAGCCAGCCTGATTTTTAACACAAAGATTTGCCATATTTTCTACTTTAACTCTGAATCTCTTCCTGACTTCGCACATAATCCAGATGTCATTGCCACAGGCCCTGGAAGAGAAGGTCTCTTGCATCATACTTTAACCTGATGTGATGTTTTGAATGTCATTGCTAGCCATTTCTCCGGACAATATGCACCAGTCTCTCTTCATGTCAGCCTTGTCAGCACACCCAGACCGTTCCCTGTCCCTCTGCTGGGAACAGCACTGTAAGCTCCTGCCAGGAGTAGCTGGAATCACAGCATCTACTGTTGCCAAATGGACCACGGATGAGGTAAGATGGCATGAAAGATAGGCATAGGCAAAGGAATTTGATTCTGGGTTGGTGAAGACACAGCCATGCTTGTGGGGCACTTCTATGCCCCACAATGTCCAAACAATTCTAGGCACATGCAACTGGACTGGGAGACGATTACACATCTTTTCACTTGCCCACACGAGGGCTTTGGAGATACCCAGCTCACACTACTTCTGCTGACCTCTCTTTGGAGGAAGAGGCCATGAAGGTGCAAATGAAATACAGGTTGCATGGTATTTGAGAAGTTTTGGAGCAATTTGGAACCTGGTTTGTCTAAGAATTATTTGCATGTCATACTCTGTTACCAGAGCCAGTTTCTATCAGCCCTTCCCTTGTTCAGCTGTGCTTTCTAAAATATCAAGGATACAGAGACTTCTAACATCATACAATTTTAGTGCTGCAAGTGATTTTTGAGATCGCCTCTAATCTGGCTTGCAAGATCCCTCACACTTCAAGTATCCTGAGCAGTCTAATTCATATTCCAGCACTTTTGAATATGTATTTGAAGGACAAAACGACTTGGGGAAAATATGGGAGAGTTGCTTGCCTTCCAGTTCTACCCTGTAAATTACTACCTTTTCAAACTGTTGTGTTTTTTTTCTCCCACAATCAGTCTAAAGCCTTAATTAAAGATGACTGGGAGGAAAAATTGCTGGAAAGTAGAAGTTAAGCATCCTTCCTAACTCCAGAATGTCCTCTTGCAAAACTATCTATCTTTACTCTGCCTTTTAAGAAAAAGTAAACAAAGTAGCTTACACAAATTCATGAAAATGCACAGCAAGATAAAATAACAAAAAGTGAAGAGAACAAGTTAAACCAAACAGAACTTTAAAGCAGCAGTACAGTAGGCTATTTAAATAATGAAAAGGTTTAGCAAATGGGGTTGAGAAGCTTCAGCTGGTCCAGGATAGGGCAGCTAGACTGTTGATTGGATCCAGTTCCACAGAGCATGTAATTCCCTTGTTACCACAGCTTTACTGGCTACTGACCTGTTTCTGGGCACAATTCCAACTGGTTAGAACATCTGAAGCCTTATATGACTAGGGGTTCATCTATTTGAAAGACCTGCCTAGGTTTTGAGAGCTTTTTGGGAAGCCCTTTCCTTGGACCCACCACCATTGGAGACAAATAATAGGAGGATGCAAGAGAAGAGTTTCTTGATGGCAGCTCCCAGCCTCTGTAAGCTCCTGCCAAAGGAAGCAAGGCTGCCCTTCTCCTTGTCCTTCTGGCATGCAAATATGTTTTTACCCAGGCACTTAGCATTGCAGCTGGGTTGCTATGGAAGGAGGGTTTACTTGGTGGTTGAGATTGCTTCTTATTGAAGTGTGTTAATTGTGCTTTTAGTCTCCTTTTATGTGTGAATTGTATTTCTGCTTTTCTTTGAGTTTTATTATTTTTAGCTGCCTCAAGTGCCATTTTGACAAAGCCCAGCATATACATTTAATAAATGAGTACTGAGCAAATGAACTTGAAAGTGAGAATGAGTGTATGTATGTGTGTATGTGAAAGGAGGGAGCTGTTTCTTTCTCTCCTCATCTCTCTCAATTATTTCCTGTATGCATTTTTTTCCAAAGGTCTTTAGCTTTGTACAGACATTGACGGGTTGTGAGGATCAAGCAAAACTCTTCAAAGATGAGGTAACAAAATGGGCTACAGTCTCACAGAACTGTGAAATTCCTGTAGTGTGTGGAGTGGGATAGCGGATTTGTTGGGAATGCCATACTAACACACACTTGGGGAACTGCTGTTCCCCCGAACGTATTGCAGTGCAACTCTCATCACTCCTAACGAGCATGGCCAGTAGTCAAGGATGCTGGGAATTAATGCCAAGCAACATCTGAAGGGTCACAGGTTGCCCATTCCTGTGCTAACAGAATTACTGAAGTTGGCTAATGGATTTTCACTCTGTGTGGTACCTTGTTTTGTATTTTGTGTACTATTGGATTTCTGTCCCACTCTTTTCTCTCCAAAGAACTCAAGACAGCTTACATGACCTCCCTGCTCCCATTTTTTTTCTCGCAGCAACCCTATGAAGCAAGTTAGGTTGAGAGCATCCACTGGCCCAAGGTCACCCAGGAAGGGCCAAGCAGAATGCTCAGCTAATTGCCTTACATATTAGAGTGTAAGCATGCCCAGCCCCAATTTGAATTCAGACCTTGGTGATTTAGGAGGCAAGCCCTTTCGTTTCCTCCTTCCCATTTTCATGCTAAAATGGTACTCCCCTACAGCATTCCAGCAAAGTATCTTTTTTAAACCCCTACCCTAACAAGGGTTGGATGGAATTTGAGCTTGAAAATAGGGAAGGGGAGCTTAAATATCCCCTCCAGAATCATGTTCTTTCTGTTCTGGGTCCCCTAAAACGGAAGCCAGAGAAGAATGATATGTTGTACCCAACATAATTTAAAATATCCAACATTGATGAAGTACATTCCGTGCTTTCATTTGCTATCATAAATGTGGTCCTTTATGGTAGTATTATATGAGTTGAAATCAGAGTCTAGATCTGTTGGCCTGGCTGAAAGCTACACAGCTTTCTGCAAAGCTAGGCAGTCCTCTGACTTTTGGCAACAAACAGGTCCTAGTTTTGTCCCACAGCATATGGGAGAAGTAGTGGGACAGCAGAGCTGACAGGAATTACCTAGTCTTGTAGAGCTAGAAATCAAAAGATGTAGGAAATGGGGAACAATGTGTTGTGTGTGTGTGTGTGTGTGTGTGAGAGAGAGAGAGAGAGAGAGAGAGAGCGCGCGCGCGCGAGCGCCTTCTTTCAGCATGAGGGCTGAAATTCCTTTTGGAGAAGTTCTTGGGGAGAGATGCATGACAGGGTGGCAGGTGAAAAGGCAAGCTTTTTGAATGGGGTAAAAACTATGCAAAAGCTGGACATCTACCAAAGGATCAGCAGTTAAGGGAAAGGAGATAAGGCCAGAGGAAAAAGTTACAGCTTTCCGGAGAATCAGACCAGAGCTTCTGCTCTGGGCTCTACATGCTTTTTAAATTATACGACTAGCTAAATGGCAGAAAGAGGTTGAACACAATGTAATTGTGGTAGAGCATTAAAGACACCATTACTGGGTTAACACTTGGTTCATGGCATGGGATCAGCAGTTATTTAGAAGCATTATGTATAGGGCGTACCAGGTTTTTAAATGCTGAAACTGCTCATTGGTGGTGTTCTCAAAGGTGTCCATTTGACTTTTGGTTCATTTGGGTTGACTACAAAAAACCCTTACTGACTGCTGTTCTTGGGAAGTTAGGAAGTGCAGCCTACAGCCATAGCCTCACACACCATGTTTCTCTGCAGAGCCAGTGTAGCAGAACTGCAGTGCTTTGCCAAACAACTGTTTGCTGCAGAGGGGACTTCTTCAAGGATGCAGGGGACCCAGGGGGGCTGCCAAATCTCCCCTGGTGTTGTCCACCTCTGCTTTATCCAAATGTGCCCCTTCCAAGCTTTGGGAGCTGGGCATGTACACTACACAGCTCATTAGTTGAATACGTAGCTGTTAGAAATGAAGGCTCCTGGGAAGACCAGATGCTGGGAAGGTTCTGGGGAAGGCCAGATGATGGGAAGTGATGCATTGTTGTAAGAACTATATTTTTTACTGAGATAAGCACTGGGCACAGAAAGAGAGCTTGCTTCATGAGTGAGGATATCTGCACATGCATGACAGAGAAAAACAGGCATCTTGAACACCTCTCTTTTCCCACAGATGATCGATGGCGAAGCATTCCTTCTGCTGACTCAGGCTGACATTGTGAAGATCATGAGCGTCAAACTTGGCCCAGCACTAAAAATCTACAATGCCATCCTCATGTTCAAAAATGCTGATGACACCTTAAAGTGAACCATCTTGGGCAATGTTTGACTTTCCTTCACATGGAAGCAGCCAAACTCTCTTGCCTGTCTGTCTCAGCAGAGTGGAGACCTTCCTGACTGCAACTTGCTCTCTCTCTTTGAGTCTTCGTCTTTGTTTACATGCCAAATCCATCTCCTGTCTGTCTTCCTCTCTTTTTCCTGCCAGCCCCCATCATGTTCAACAGTGGAGCTCCAGCAACCACCTGCCCGCAAATCCTGCCAAGTTCTTCTCCTGGTAGTTTTAAAGGCACATGACATAAGTTTGATAGTGGATTCAGCTTGCCTTAGTGTTAACCCCTCCAACTCTTGACAGCCTGGGTTCTTACATTATAAAGTGTGCCTAGATTTACATGATTATAGAAAAGGAAGACATCTATATACCAATTGCCAGTATATGCAGTTACCCAACTTCAGATGGTATCATGTATGTGCAAGCAATTCTGAACTCTGATGTCAGGGCAAAGGTCAGTCTCAACCGATGGGATCAGGCCATAAACTTCACAGCAGGGGCAGATTATCTGTTTCCAGGGACTTGCTTCAAGATAAGGCTACTGGACTAAATGCATTGTAGACATAACTCCTCCTAACAGTTCTGGATTCATTGCTGCTATGGAAAAATGAAGAATATTTTTTGGTGCTCACAATTTGTAGACTTGTAATATTGCCATGTCAGTCATGGAGGATGTGAGGAACACAGCACACTATGGAATATTGTTCCTTCTGTTTAACTTCTGTTGGTTCAGCCCTTCAGGTTTTCATGGAGTACTTTTGGACACCAAGAGTGCTTAACTTCACAGAAAGCATGAGAATTAAACTACCAACATCAGTACTTTATATGAAGTAAAAGCATTCTTCTCAACCATTGGAGTAATAACAAATGCCAGGAAGAGCTAGCTAATGCCATCCCATCCTGATGGTCTATCAGGGACTGTACCGTACGGAATGGTGGTGGTAGAGGGTGGAAGATTCTGCGCAGCACAGCAACACTCTGTTCCTTTGTTCTGATTTCATCACCTCTGCACCATCCAACCATACTTAGCTCAGTGTGTGCCAACTGTTTACATACAGCTACCTGACAATGTCCCTTGAATATGTAGTTTAGAAACTGTTCACTTTTAGGACTGGTGGTGATCTCTTTCCATGTGAATTCAATATATGATGAAAACCTAGGCTTTCAAGTCAATGTGAGCACTGCTGCTGACTATGTAGGGTTTTCCCTATGCTCCCCTGGTGCTGGGTCACTTGGTGATTAAGTGTTCTCAGGCAGCAGTTCTTGAATACTATTAAAAGACGGGAAGTTTCCTGTTAATGTATGTGATGACTTTATTTTGGGAATGGAGGTATTGGAGCCATATGAGTTTTCCATCTCAGATGCCAAAATATTATGGGATGGTTCTGTTGAGTTGGGCACTCATTTCTAATGTCTAGATTTTTTCCTGGATCTTTTCCACTCGGTTCTCCTTCAGTCTTTAATATGTAAGGCCTTTATGTAATAAGGCCTTTTCATCAAAGACAAAATTCCATGGCCAAACATGGTCCTGGGTTTCTTAGACCTAAATGCAACCCTCTAGTCATGTATTGCATATTGTATCCAGTATATGGAATTTCTCAGTCTGTGAAGGCAAGGGATAGCATTTCTTAACCATGCATACGCCAGCGACATGTCTCATAGTAACGTGGCATGTGAAGTCCACTTTTTAACATTTGGGTGAATTCATGCAAAGCTTCCCAGGGAAAGGCAGCATTTGACTCTTAACGTTAAATACTTGGCTGTTGTTGGTTTACTTTTTCAATGGTTGGCTTTCTGGTGTTCAAAAAAATGTACCTTGGTTTTTCTTTTCTCTCTTTTTAACATTGGGGTTGTGATGGGTCAGGCACGACTTTGCGACTAACAACTTTTAACATGGTGAACTAGTTTTTTAGCAAGTTTCCCCGTTTCCTTTTGAACATTCCCTTGAGTTTATGTGCACCAGGATGAAGAAAGTTTCGTGCTTCCGAGCAAATCCTTCCAATCGCTGCAACTGCTAAATAGTGCCAGACTATCTCCATATCCAAAGATATGTTGTTTTTAGCCAACCAGGAAAAATGAAAGAGGAAAACTGCTTGAGGTACCCAGATGATTCTTGCCAGTGGATGGGGCTTTACGAAGAAAACTTTCCTTATTTTTGGACCTAATCATAACAGGTCCAACTTCTCATTTAATTGCTTATAATACAAATCAACCAGGATATTTGAAAGAAACAAATCCTATAAGGAAAAAAGACCCCTTATATTCTTATTAACATGCATCTTAACCCTTCATGTATGAATAAATGCCTCTTGTATTGAAAGCTAGCTGAGCACCAACTTCATGGGTAGACTGCTGTGAATTACAAGGGAGTTGTCTCTGAATTTGAAACTGGGCTAGGAAGAGGACTGCTGGTTCGGAACATACTCATAAGCAGAGATCCTTGGGTGCTGCTAATGTCCAGTTTGAAAGAGACAGGAAGTGTTTCATGAAGTTGAGCCCATCTTTGTTAGCACTGCATTGGAACTGATTGCCGCTGAAAGAGTGGCTTCTTTTGTGCCAGTTTAGAGACACTGATTGAGCCAGCTCTGACTCTTCACAGGATTTGGACTCTTGTTTGGCTCAGGTGAAACTGTCTTTCTGATGGGTCTTGTACACTGAACTGCAGCAGGTGGCCACTTGAGGGCCTCAGTGCCAAACTTTACTCATATATCCTTTTGGATGTAGTTTAATCTGCCCCAGATTTCATACTGAAACCTGCCAACCTTCTACTTTGTCATGCTGGCTATCTCTTTATAATATTTCCATCTTACCCTGGAGCACAGCTTGCAGGGCCATTGGGCAAGGTAAACTGGATGCGAACCAGGAATAGAGTCCAGCTAGTGCATTGCTCCCTTCTGCTCTGAGTTTGCCAGGCACAGAGTATGACGTGAAAATCTAAGATTGTGCTTTTGTGTACATGTGTATGGGAAAGAAAGAAAAAAACTAGTAGAGGGGGATATGCACACTAATGAACAACATGGAACTTCCCAATTCATTCCCATTTCTCTACTGTCATAGGTAGTGTCCAATCTTGTACCTCTTTTGAGGCATTAAGCATCTGAATCCAGATTGAAGGGGTGGCAACAGGTGTAACTCAACTGATGGCTAAGGGCTATTTACTTCTAAAATGGGGTTGGAACCTTCTTTTGTATGAAGAAACCACAGTTGGACTCAAAGCTTGCATGTGTGAGTGAGCTAAAAGTGAAGCTACCATTGCCATATTTGCTCAACTAATTCTATTCCACTATTTCTCTAGATGTTGCTATGGAGCATTAGCTCTGAAAGGGAGCAACTGTTGGAGGGTGGAAGGGAAGGCAGTCATGGTCTCATCAGATATCCTCTTGAAACCTTTGATATCCCCACGTGGCAGGGCTGATGGAGGCCTGTATTGGAAGACCAGAACAGATTCTGCTGATCTGCACTGCTTGTACAGGTCTATATAGAGCTTTGATCTGAGAGCTACTGATAGCTAGTTCCTTGCATACTCTCTGTGTAGAATAACTGGAAGCTACAGCTTCTTTCACCACACCAGTACTGCTTAGGCTTGTGGCAGATACCAGATCATCAGGCTAGAAAAGTGCCAGGCTGATGCTCTTAACCTCTCCTAGTAGGCTTTGTCTTGCCTGGCCTCACTGATGGTCACAGAATGTTGAATCATCCTAGGAGTTATTTTCTCTCAAGCATCTTCATAACAGCTCCTGTTTTGGAGGAGCTAATGGCAGCTAATATGTCTCCTGAGATAAATGCACCATAGGAGCTGGAGGTTATGAGGTTTTTGTTTTCTAACTGTTGCTTCGATAGTTATCATCTCTCCTAAAACCAAGCATAACAGATCTAAATCTGTTCTAAATCTCAAGAGTCTGAGACCATCCCCCATATTTGCTCATGATAATACTATGAGTGTTTAAAGCAAAGGTTGGGCCAGTTTCATGTACAGAGACTCCCTCTTGTTCTCTGCATTGCTGTTGCTAGAATTATCTATCCAATCAAAGGAAGATAGAGTCAGTTCCCTTGTTCTAGTCCTTGCCAGCAATCTGTTATCCCAACCAGTTCTGGAGTCACTTTAGGTTACAAAAGGGAAGATTGTTTAAATGTTAAGGCCAAAAAAATCGAGGAAAGGTCACTGGAGTTGTAGGGAACTGTTTGCATTGGCCCTAACCATTTAACTCTGCAGATCTGTGCATACCTACTCAGGAGGAAGTTCCATTCAGTGCAATGGAGCTTACTCACAGGTAAGTGGTGAAGGATTGCAGCCTTTGCCTATTAAGATCAGTGGGCACACCTGTGTTCAGTGGTGGATGAGTATGGGAGTATGTTGACAGAAGTGATACAGAAGGAAGTGGTGGAGGAACATGACCTCCAAAAAATTCTTTATTTATAAGCAAGCAAAAGGAAAACAATTGTTTCATGATATAGTGAATGTAAGTATGTATGAATGTCTGTATGGGGGCAGGGCCACAAGCTATCTCCCTAGGTAGATTCTGCATGCCCTAGAGACTCACACAAATATGCTCTTTCCATCCTCCTGATCCAGCTATATGTAGCATCTAATCAGTGTTCAGGAGGACTGCATCTAGTCTCTTGTTTACCTTCTAGTCAGCCCACTGTGTCTCTGTCTTGATTCCTTGAGTTGCCCGATAGGGCTAGCAACCTGAGGCAGCATTTCCTTAACCGGGCCCTTCCTCATCCAGCTAGGGGTGCAGGAACAGACCTTGATTCTGCAGATAAATTTCTCTTAATTGGCTCAGGATAGAAAGCAAACAAGTGTATTAATCAGGGCTTTGAGCAGTCTGAAAATGCTGTATTCCCAGACCTTTGAAAGACAGGTAAACTGCATGAAACATGCATTTATCACCTAGGAAACTGATCTTGTGAAAAGGCCCTCAATCAGCCTTTCTGTGCACTTCTCATTTCCTGCTCACAGTCACTTACAGGTTCTTAGGCAAGATCATGGCTCCAGTTTCATCTCTGTTGGTAAATGGCATTTTCCCAGGTTTTTCTTAAAAGTGGTGAAATGTAGCATAATTTCTGATTAGTGAAAGAAAGCAGGAATATATCTTGGGCATTTGCACTATTCTGCTATACCAGAGTGCCACTTGGAGGTTATGTTGTGGAAAAGCAGGTAACAAAACACTCCATTTGTAGCACCTGGATCT